GTGGGGCAAAAAGGGCAGCCAAGAGATGACTCAGGGTTTACGATAGCATATAGTAAACTCCTTTAAACTCTGAGCCACTGTATGGCCAGATGTAGCATAGAATTTCATCATCTCCAAAAGGCCCAAGAATGAGTCACTATGTCCTCGGATTCCTAGGAAATTTCCACAGGAGCCCTGGATACATGCTTCCTTGAGGAGGCCCTATAGAACAATACCGAGTAACTCAATATTGTTTTATTTCTTGGGTATGTCTTGTTTTTCCAATTAAAAGCCTTCTGCTCTTAAGGAACTCACAATATTCAGAAGTAAAACATAAACTCCTTGAGGGCAGGGGCAGTTTCTCATCCTGCTCCACTTCTTCCTCCTCCTCTGCCTCCTTTTCCTCTTCCTCTTCTTCTTCTGTATCTGTCACAGCAACAAGCACAGAATTGGCCTTTCAATTTTATTTTTTGTGGACAGTCAAGTGAGGGTATTTCATCTTGTCACATCTCACATGTTTAACTTCCTATGAAGGATGTCTTTCTGGGAAAGAATAATTCAAAGAAAGGGTGAAGCGGCCCTTTCCCAAGTTGTTTTCTTTTCCTCAAGTAAACCATCATCTTTATTGTTTTTAGTTTTTTTTTTTTAACCTACACTGTGTTCCTTTATTTCAGCACTGTTAGCTACTCAGTCTCAGCTACCTGATCGGTTTAAAAAAAAAAATCTTTGGGAAATATTGCCATCTTGTGGGCTCTTAGAGTATTGCTGCGTAAATCCCTCCTCCAGCTTTCCTGAGAAGTGATTATTCAGTCTCTGCTAGAATGTCTGCAGTGACAGAGAACTGTATCATGGAGAAGGTTGGGTGGGCAGTCAGTCAAGTAGCAAACAGACAACATGCAAATAGATATGTACACATATGTATCTAGGTATGTGTGCACAAACACATATATACACACATACAAGTGTGTATATATGCCAGGAAGTTTTATGACTTTCACATATACACAATGTGTATATACACACTCATACACATGCACATGTGTATGCGTATATATCCATGTGCACATGTATATGTATGTGTGTATATATACACGCACATATCTATTTACATGTTGTCTCCTCCATTAGGCAGACTGTGAGCTCCCTAAGAACAGAGACTGTTTTTTTGTTTGTTTGTTTTTTGCCGTTCTTTGTAAAGGGAAAACCTTCTTGTGGAAGATGAGACTTCAACTGAGACTTGAAGAAAGCCAGGGATCCTGTAAGGCAGAGATGAAGAGGAAAAGTGTGCCAGCCTGGGCATTATGGCCAGTGAAATGGTTGGAATGAGGAGGTGGAATGTCCTGTGTGCAGAACAGCCAGTGTCACAGGACCACAGAAAAGGAAGAGCAAGGTGTAAGAAGGAGGGGAGTAAGGTGTTAGAAGCCTGGAAAGGTAGGATGGACGCAGGAAAGGAATGGCTTGAAAAACCAAGCAGAGGAAGAAATAGGGAGCCCCTGGGGTTTATTGAATGGGAGGGGGTGACATGGTCACACTTGGGCTGCAGGAAGAACAATTGAATGGCTGAGTGGAGGAGGAACTGGACAAGAGAGAGACCAAGTGGGAAGCTATTGAAAGAGTCCAGGCATGAGGTGGTGAGAGCCTGCACCAGGATGGTGACAGTATCAGAAGAGATAAGGAGGTATATGGGAGAGATGTAATGAAAGAAGAATAGACAGCACTTGAGAACTGATTGGACGTCAGCAATGACACTCAGGCTGTGAGCTTGGGTACCTGGAAGGATGGCAGAAAGTTAGAAAGAGAGGAGGGTTTGGGATGTTGAGTTCAAGATGTTTTGGGGACATCCAGTTCAAGATGTCTAATAGGCAATAGGAGATGTGAGACTGGAGATCACTCCATTATCAGACAGCTCTAGCTGTCCAACAGTTCAATTTAATTCAACAAACAATTATTAGGCTACTTTGTATTACATGCTGGTGATATCAAGATAAAAACCATAGTCTTTTCCTCAAGGAGTCTGCATTCTTCAGGTCTTCCTCATGTTGAGCTAAATGCTGACTTTCTGAATCACCCCAGTTTTGTCCTCTGTGTCTAGACCTTCCAACAACATAGAGGATCAAAGAATTTTTGCAACTATAGAGCTAGTATTTATATAGCACTTTAAGGTTTGTGAAATCATTTTACAAATATTACCTCATTCAATTCTTATAATGTTTAGTATCCTCATAATAACAATGTTTGTTGAATTGTAGGTAGTGAGTCTGGCCCTGAGGGGTATGGAGGCATTCATTTATGAATCTGATATGGCCAATCAATTAGTTAATTAACAGTATTTATTAAATGCCTGCTATGTGCCCTGGAAGGTAGGTGCTATTATTCTCCACGTTTTACAGATGAGGCAACTTAGGCAAACAGAAGTTAAGCAGCATGCCCAGGGTCACAGAGCTAGTAAATATCTGAAGCTGGATTTGAACTCAGGTTACCTAACATGAGGATCGTGTGTTTCAAACCATTCTTTAGACATGCGAACAAAGAGAAACGTAAATGAGTTACTTCTTGTCAAATGTCAACAGGTAAGGACAGAGTCAAGATTAGAGGTCAAGCCTTTTGGCTTCCAATCCAGTGTTCTTTCCACTCCACTTGAAGAAGCATTCTACTGTACTCTTTGGAACAAAGAGTTTGACTGAAGAAAGCTGTTAGTGACACTAGGACAAAGAGGTTTGTTGTAGTGGCAATTTGGTGGCAAGCTTTTTGACTGTGTCTTAATTCATCTTTTCATTCCCAGGGATTAACACAGTATCTTTCAGATAATAGGCATTCATTAAATAAAGGGCAAATAGCTGGTATAGGGCACTGGATTTGGAGTCAGGAAGGCCTGAGTTCAAGTATAGCCTCAGATACTAATGGTGTGATTCTGGGCAAGTCACTTAACCCTTGCCTCAGTTTCCTCATCTGTGAAATGGGAATAATAATAGTACCTCCCAGGGTTTCTATAAGGGTTAAATGAGGTAATATTTGTAAAGTGCTTTGCAAACCTTAGGGTGTTTTTTAAAATGCTAGCTTTTATTATTACTAATATATTACCATATATTAATATAACATATAATACTATAATTTGTAATAATAATATTTTTGTAGCTAGTGAGTCTGTTATGAGGGGTAGGAGGCAGCTGTTTGTGAACCTGATATGGCCAATCATTTAATAAGTTAACAAGTATTTATCAAAAATGCCTACTTCAGGCCAGGCACTGTGCTAGGAACCAATGAGGTGTGCTACACTCTTTGAACCAGGGAGGGATGAACAACCTGCCAAGACCTGTCAAACTTGCCAGTTGCTACCCTGTTGTAGCAATTAATTTAGTGAAGAATGTTACCAGAGACCCAGAAAGTATTTCTAGGACACTGAAAGATTGGGAGGCCTAAGCAATGAGTGTTTTTAGTTTTCTTCCAAATAAAGACAGGAACTTTGGACGGGAAAGGAAGTTTTATAAATACACACATGTGTACATACACACACAGGCAGATGTGTGTGTGTTTATTCATGTATATGCAGATATAGGCGGCTCTCTAGTCACTATATCACATCGCCTCTTGATGAGCTAAGCTTATAAAAATAATAGATGGATGCACAACCAATGAAGAACACAAAGCAATAATAGCCTTAAGGAAGCTAAAGCCTATTATGAATTGGAGCTTATTGTGTGAAAAATGGAGAAAAGACATTTTAAGCTGCCTCTGGAGCAAGAGCAAGACAGAGAAAAGGCCTGCAGATTGGGGCAGGTGGTATCTTTTTATTTTTTGCAGACTTTGTTGTTGTTGTTCATGCATTTCAGTCATGTCTGAGTCTCTGTGACCCCATTTGGGGTTTTCTTGGCAAAGATACTGGAGTAGTTTGCCATATCCTTCTGCAGCTCATTTGACAGATGAGGAAACTGAGGTAAACAGAGTTGAGTGACTTCCCCAGGGTCACACAGCTTGTAAGTATCTGAGGCCAGATTTGGACTCAGGAAGGTGAGTCTTCCGGATTCCAGACTGGATACTCTATCCACTGCACCGCCTAGCTGCCCATTTAATGCTTGTTGGGATTTCATTCATTTTTTGGTCATGTCCAACTCTTTGTGACCCCATCTGGGGTTTTCTCTGCAAAGATACTGGAGTGGCTTGCCACTTCCTTCTCCAGCTCATTTTACAGATAAGGAAACTGAGGCAAACAGAGTGAAGTGACTTGCCCAGGTCACGCAGCTAGTCGGTGTCAGAGGCCAGAGCTGAACTCAGGAAGATGAATCGGCCTGACTCCGGGCCTCTTACTCTGTACACTATGGCGCCGCTTAGCCACCCTTTTTAAACTTTAGAGTCACTTAATTACTGGGATACAGGTGGTAGAAGAAATTTTTTTGAACTATATAGTGAATTATTTTACTTTTAAAGTGACCCTGATATAATGATTTCCAATGTAAGCACAGCAGAATACTTAGTAATTGCTTCATGAAGAATCTATGCTCTGGGCCAGCGTTGTCAAACTCAAATAGAAATAGAGGCCACTTACTATATGATCTGGGCCACGTGTTGACACCTCTGCTCTGAGTTAACTCTTTTAACCTCGGCCTGCATTACTATGTTGGGTTCCCAGAGCAAGCAAGGCTAAATTTTCTCCTCAGGGATCTAGGGATCAGGGGGTTCTTCTCCAAAGCTAAATGGGCACCAAGTGCCCATTGTAATGTGTGTCCATTGTTAAGCCTTGAGGTTCGCTTAATGAATTAACAACAATTAGCTTCTATAAAACGATATTTATTGAGAAGATATCGCAAGAACTGGAGTATAAACCTTTCCACCCAACACCTAGGGGCCCACTTTTCCCTCTACTACTTTAGTCCCTGGGGACAGTGGGTTCAGATTGAATATAGCTACTACAAAGCATTTCCCTAGTCCAGGAGAACCAATAGATGCGTGAGTTACTGTAGCTTGCTCTTGACTGCCTTTGATTCATTGCTATGTTGGGTCAAGCTTGAACTTGCTCTTCACAGAATCAGCACAGACTTCAGTATGGCTTCTAGTGGCTCACTTTCCCAGTCTTTGGAAGGTCAAAATGCTTCAGCCTTGTTGGATGTTCCATCTAAGAGCAGCAAAGAACAGATGCAGAAAGGAAAGAAACCAGAAGTTTATGGGCAAAGGTATGCTGGAGCCAAACCAAGAACTAATTATTAAGTTTTCAATATTAGTATTTATAATCTGAAATTGGCAAATGCAACAGATCAAGGATTGGTTTATTGTTTTGTTGATTGCCTAGACTTAATGAATGATGGATAAAATGTTAATAGTGTAAATTAAATTTAAAAGTATGTCCTGTGTACATTTTTTTTCAGAGCTGGTTAAACATTTGCCAGGTTTGTATATACATCAACCTGAGTGGGGAGTTTATAGCATGTCTTCCTCACTCAAGCCAGCTAGACAAGAAAGAGGGGGAGTGAGGCTCGCTTTGGATGATTTGTGACTCTTGAAGGCACCCTCAGTTCTGGGTCAGCAGCTAATCAAAAGTCTGCTTCTTCAGCATGTGGTTGTCAGATTAGAAAAAATGATAGAATAATTGTGTATGCTCTGAAATCCTCAAGGATTTCATCACTTGAGCAGCCTCACTTACTCTTAAAGGTTGGGTTCTGTCAGTCCCCTATTACACAAATGCAAGGAAGCAAGACAAGCCCTGCCTCAAAGAGCTTATATTCTAATGGAGAAAGACACACAAAAAGAGGAATTCAAAAATACTTCCTAGATAGATAAGTGAAAGCTCATCTATCAGAGCCCAGCACCCCAGGGGCAGAGTCCAAGTTTTCAGTGGGAGGGAGATAAGGATGATCTGAGTGCTACTGAGGAAGTTACATGAGGCCTAGTTCTTGTTAGAAAATTGAGGAGGAAAGGAATACTAACAGTAAAGAAGAAAACTTTGTGGCGGAAGTGCCAACGGATTTGAGAGTTGAAGGAAGATAAAGATTCTGACTGGTGGGGACGAGGGAGTATATTCCAGGTATGGACCATGGCTTGTACTGTCACCTCCACAGAGGTGGGAGGTGGAGTGTTGAATTCAAAGAATAGCCAGTGGTTTGATTTAGCTGGAGTATAGTTTGTCAAAGGAAATAGTACGAATTAAGCCTAGAAAGGTAAGCTAAGGAGTTTGTGTCTTATATTATAGACAATGGGGAACAAAGGAAGACATTTTGTTGTTGTTGTTGTTCTTACCACTTCTCATGCACAATACTCTGTCTGCTATTTCCTGGCAGCTTTTGGACTATCTCTTTTTTCATCCTCTGCTTTCTTTCTTATTTGGGTCTTTGTTTTTTCTCCTTACGTACCTTTGCATTTCTCCTTGCCGCTCTCTCTGTCTCCGTCTCTTTGTCGTTCTCTCTCTCTCTGTTTCTCGTAAAGGAAATAAGTACAAATTTCAAAAAAAGAATGGTGAAGTACCAGAACATCTTACTTGTTTCCTGAGGAATTTGTATGTGGACCAAGAAGCAACAGTTAGAACTGAACATGGAACAACTGATTGGTTTGAGAGCGGAAAAGAAGTATGACAAAGCTATAGATCGCCACCTTATTTATTTAACTTATATGCAGAGTCCATCATGCAAAAGGCCAGGCTGGATGAATCAAAGGCTGGAATTAAGGCTGCTGAGAAAACTGTCAACAATCTCAGATATGCACATGATACCACTCTGGTGGCAGAAAGTGAAGAGGAGTTAAGAAGCCTCTTGATGAAGGTGGAAAAGCAAAGTATAAAAGCTGGCTTGAAGCTTAACATTAAAAAAAAACAACCTAAGATCTTGCCAACTGGTCCCATTACTTCCTGGCAAATAGAGGGAAAAGAAATGGAAGCAGTGTCAGATTTTGTATTCTTGGGCTCAAAGATCACTGCAGATGGCAACTGCAGCCATGAAATTAAAAGACACTTGCCCCTTGGAAGGAAAGCTATGGCAAATTTGGACAGCGTGCTAAAAAACAGAGACATCACCTTGCTGACAAAGGTCCACATAGTCAAAGCTATGGTTTTTCCAGCAGCAGTGTATGGCTGTGGGAGCTGGGACTATAAGGAAAGCTAAGAGCTGTAGAATCACCACTTTTGAATTGTGGTGCTGCAGAAGACTTGAAGAAATAAATTCAGGCTATTTGCTGGTCAAATACTGAAGCTGACCCTTAAATACTTTGGCCACATAATGAGAAGATGGAACTCATTGGAAAAGACCCTGATGTTGGGACAGATTGAAGGCCAAAGGAAAAGGGAATGTCAGAAGATGAGATGGATAGATAGTGTCATGGAAACAATGAACATGAACCTGGACAGACTTGAAGAGATAGTGGGGAGAGAAGGGCCTGGCGTGTTAATGGCCCATAGGATCACAGAGTCAGACATGACTGAACAACTGAGTGATAATAACAACAATGGTTAAGAAACTTCCATACTTGTGTTCTAAAAAAATTTAAGAATCGGTGGGTAGCTCATAACTTTTTGCAGAATATCTAAAAGCTACTCATATCATACAAGTTTTCATTATTGACCTCATTATTTTCAACAGTGGTTAGTCCACAGTGTTGTTTCCTTTTTTAATTTCATACTCAAAGAATTTGTGGTTTCATTGGTGTGAATATTCCTTCTGCCGTGTTCTCAGCTTATTTTGGGGTCCTGTAAGTTCTCAGTGCTACCAAAATGGTGTGACCCAGGGTGAGGTCTGTTATCTGCCCTCCTAGTCAGACCTCTGCAAGTTTCTGACCCACATTTGGCTTGTGTATAATTATGTTTCAGTAGACACTGCTGGACTCAGTCACTGTTAGCCTCCTCGGTCGCTGGGAGGTTCTGTGGGTTCAGAGTGACTGAACTTGCCGGCTTCCCTTTGGTCTGGTCTCTTGCCCTGGCTATTCCACTGCAGGCTAACACACTGGGCTAAAGACTAGAACTGAATCAGGCTTTGTTCTTAGGCTCAAAGCAACATGGCTACATTGGCATGATTCCTGGCACAAAGTGGGCACTTAATAAATTTTTATTTTCATGAATTGAAGGAATGACTAACAATATACATAATCACTACAATATTTAAATAGAGTGAAAAATATGAAATTGAATGCTGTGTAATTATAAAGACCAAGATTGTCTCTGAAGAAGAGATGAGAAAATGTACCTCTCTGCCTTTTTAACAGAGGCAGAGGACTATAGGTGAAGATCATTGCACGTTGTCATATTCAGCTGATTGTGTTGGCTAGTTTTACTGAACTCCTTTTTAAGAAAATTCTCTTTAAAATATATATATATATATATATATAATATATATATATATATATATATATATTTAAAAATAAGGGATATCGTTTTAGGGGAGAAAGGAAGGATATATGTAGAAATTATGGTGATGTAAAAATAAAAGCTGTAACACATTTTTGAAAAAATATTCAAACTTCTCTTTTTAGTTGTGAGTGAAAAAAATGCAACATCCTATAGCCAACCTGATGGTGAGTCTTTCCAAACAATTAGGCTTGCTTAGACAACAGCTATGTGGCCTTGTCACTGGGCCTATACTTAAAGCCTCTACAGCTTAGTAGGACATATCAGTGCTTGCCTTTCACTGAAGAGCCTTTGAAAACCCAGACAAAGCTTTGGAGTTGGACTTTAGTGGAAAGTTTTTTTAAAAAAAAAACATTATTTTATGATCAAATAAAGATATAGTTTTGATTAGTAAACATTTTAAAATGTCAGTTTATACATTGACATTTAAATGTTTTTGCTTTCTAAATCCTTGTCTAAAAAAATAAAAACAAAATGATTATTTAAAAATATTTATAATTATAGCTCTTCGAAGAGATCTCTTATTTTAACAAGTTCCGATGCTGTTAAATTAAAGGAAGAATTGCTTCAAGCTCAGGTAATACATATTCATTATTGTACTGTGTGTTTCCACCTTCAGAATGCATGATGTGGCTTTTTTCAGTTGCATAAAAGCATACTTCCTTAATTATGTTTAGTTTAAGAAGATGTTTAAATGTTTTGTGTTCATTTCTTTCATGTATCAGTTGATGGGTGAACTGAGGTATCCTTGAAGTGTGCTCAGTGACACTGGAAATGAATAATGAATGATTTATAAAATAGCTAATTCACATGCAGATAACTGATAATGTACTTTGCTTTTAAAAATACTTAATTTTGTAGTTGTATTTGCCTTGCTGAAAAAGTTGTATGAATTAAAAATCTGTCCTGTTTGGTATATTTTTCAAAATACATTGGAACTCTTTTTCAGTACTGGTTTTGAGGGACAATTCTCTAATTTTGTTTTATAAAGGGCTTTTTTACATTTCATCATATTTTGATAGCTATCATTTAAGCTTCTCTATGCAAATTTGTGTGAAACACCATATGACTTTAAATTTTAGAAATTGTGATGTTCACAAAAATTACATTTGTTTTTTTAATATAAGTTTATTTATTTTTAGTTTTCAACATTCCCTTCCACAAGTTTTTGAGTTCCAAATTTTTACCCCATCTCCTCCCTCCCCCCACCCCAAGATGTCATGCATTCTGAATATCCCTTCCTCTACTCTGTCCTCTCTTCTATCTCTCTCCCCTTCTCTTATCCCCTTCCCCTTCTGTTTTCCTGAAGGGCAGGATAGACTTCTGTACCCCATTTCCTATATTTATTTCCCAGTAGCATGTGAAAACATTTTTTTAAACATATGTTTTTAAAACTTTAGGTTTCAAATTTTCTCTCTTCCTCCCTCCCCACCCATCCTCATTGAAAAGGCAAGCAACTCAATATAAGTTGTACATGTGCAGTTATGCAAAACATGTCCATAGTAGACATGTTGTGAAAAGCTAACTCTATTTCCCTTAATCCTATCCTGCCCTCCCATTTATTCTATTCTTTCTTTTGACCCTGTCTCTCCTCAGAAGTATTTACTTCTGATTACCCCTTTCCCAATCTGCCCTCCTCTCTATCATCCCCCTGCTCTCTTGTCCCCTTCTCCCCCTATTTTCCTGTAGGGTAAGACAGATTTCCATACCCAATTGAATGTGTATGTTATTCCCTCCTTAAGCCAAATCCTATGAGAATAAGATTCACTCATTCCCTCTCACCTTCCCCTGTTTCCCCTTCCACTGTAAGAGACTTTTCTGTTTTTTTTGTGAGAATTTACCCCATTCTACCTCTCCCTTTCTTCTTCTCCAAGTATAATCCTCTCTCATCCCTTAATTTTATTCTCCAGATATGACCCCTTAATCTTCAGCTCACCCTGTGCCCTCTATCTATCTATCTGCATATACATACATATAATTTTTTTCCTCCAACTACCCTGATACTGACAAAGGTCTCATGAGTTATAAATATCATCTTTCCATGCAGGAATGTAAACAGTTCAATCTTAATAAGTCTCTTATGATTTCTCTTTCCTGTTTACCTCTTCATGTTCCACTGGAGTCCTGTATTTGAAAGTCAAATTTTCTGTTCAGCTCTGGTCTTTTCATCAGGAATGCTTGAAAGTCCTCTATTTCACTGAATGACCATTTTTTCCCCTGAAGGATTATACTCAGTTTTGCTGGGTAGGTGATTCTTGGTTGTAATCCTATCTCCTTTGCCCTCTGGAATATTATATTCCATGTCCTGTGGTCCTTTAATGTAGAAGCTGCTAAATCTTGTGTTATCCCACAGTACTTGAATTGTTTCCTTCTGGCAGCTTGTAATATTTTCTCCTTGACCTGGGAACTCTGGAATTTGGCTACAATATTCCTAGGAGTTTTCCTTTGGGAATGTCTTTCAGGAGGAGATCAGTGGATTCTTTCAATTTCTATTTTGCCCTCCGGTTCTATATATCAGGGTTTTCCTTGATAATTTCTTGAAAGATGATGTCTAGGCTCTTTTTTGATCATGGCTTTCAGATAGTCCAATATTTTTAAATTCTCTCTCCTGGATCTATTTTCCAGGTCAGTTGTTTTTCCAATGAGATATTTCACATTGTTTTCTAATTTTTCATTCTTTTGGATTTGTTCTACTGTGTCGGGGATTTCTCATAAAGTCACTATCTTCCAATTGCTCTATCCTAATTTTTAAGGAAGTATTTTCTTCAGTAGTCTTTTGGACTTCCTTTTCCATTTGGCCAATTTTTCTTTTTAGGGCATTTTTCTCCTCATTGGCTTTTTGGACCTCTTTTGCCATTTGGGTTAGGCTATTTTTTAAGGTGTTAACTTCTTCAGTATTTTTCTGGGTCTCCTTTAGCAAGCTGTTGACTTGTTTTTCATGATTTTCTTGCATCACTCTCATTTCTCTTTCCAGTTTTTCCTCTGCTTCCCTTACTTGCTTCTCAAAATCCCTTTTGAGCTCTTCCAAGGCCTGGGACTGATTCATATTTTTCTTGGAGGCTTTGGATGTAGGAGCTTTGACTTTGTTGTCTTCTTCTGGGTGTATATTTTGATCTTCTTTGTCACCAAAGTAAGATAATATAGTCTGACTCTTTTTGTGCTGCTTGCTCGTGATCCCGGCTAATTACTTGAGTTTTAAACTCTTTGTTAAGGTAAGAGTCTGCTTCCAATGTGAAGAATGTACTGTCCCAAGCTTCAGGTACCTGTAAATTTTCAGTTCTCACAAGGTGGTATGATAAGGGGCGAGGTGTTTACTCCTTTCCTGGCCTGTGACCACAAGTATTCCTTTCTGTCCTGTTAACTGTGAGGAAGGGTTCCTCTCCACAGCCACTACAAGCCCCACCATGCCAGTGCTCCTCCTCACCCCAGCACTGCCACCCGGAACTGTGACCCAGATCCAAACACGGGCAAAGCAAGAGATCCCTGCAATCCCTCTCTGATCAGCCACTGGATTCCCCCTCAGTCTGTGGGCCAGAAGCTCGGGAAGCAGCTGCCCCCCCACAGGGCCACACTCTTGGGGAATGGAGCTGAATCCCCGCCTTCCTTTCTCAGGCACCGACAGAAACTGACTTTTCTCACTGACCTTCTAAGTTGTCTTTGGCATTCATGGATTGAGGAGTCTGGAAACCTCCACAGCTGCCCATGATTCACTCCTCTGAGGCCTGCTTCAGATTTGCTGTAGCCTGCGTGCCCATGCCGCGCTGCGCTGCGCTCCCAGCCCTGCGGGATACACCTTTCTGATCCATCATCCAGGTTGTCTTGGGCTGGAAATTTGTTTCACTAAGTCTTTTTGTGGGTTCTGCTGCTTCAGAATTTGTTTAGAGCCATTTTTGTAGGTATTTGGAGGGGTTTGGAGGAGAGCTCAAGCAAGTCACTGCTTTCACTCTGCCATCTTGGCTCCGCCTCTCTCCACAAAAATTACATTTGGCTTACAACATTTATTACATGAGCCCTGACCCCAAATAGCAGTGCTGTTCCCTCTTGTTCTTGGTTATGGTCATGTACTTTTGCTGCTGATCCCTATATTGATAGGTATTTAGCCTACAACAAATGCAATCAGCTTCTAAATAATTTCCTATAGAAACAAAATTAAAAGTTAAATGGAAAAAGCAGACTACTTTAATTTGTCTTAGTCGTGCACATGATTTTTGTTAAATTCACTTTATTTCTTTAAGGCTGTAGGTATCTGACTGAAATAGTGCTGCTGCAGTTTATTATAAGCAATAGTATGGATGCATTATAAAGCTAATATAAAATATAAATTTGCATGAACAAAAACATATAACGGATAGCTCAAGATTTGTCTAGTTTGGATGAAATATAATATGAGAAAAAAATTTAAAGTTAGGTTGTGCAGGTGTTTAAATGTCAAGACAATGAGTTTACATTTCATTCAGCAGGAAGTAGAACAGTGGTTTCACTATGTAGAACTCTACAGATTTCATTTTGACTTAGAAAACTGCATATTAAGATTACCTATGTTCTATTGTATTTTTACTTATTTTGTTAAATATTTCCCACTTAGATTTTAATTTGATTTGGGCAGCATTTAGGCCTAGGGCTTCAGCATGTTTGACACCTCTGAAGTAGAGCACCACTGAAAGCTCTTGAACAGAGAACATGATCCTAGTGATGCCTTATTGGTAACCTTATTTATGCAGTTGTGTGATGGACGGATTGTAGAGACTGATGTCAGGAAACTTAGGGGGCTGTTGCAAGAGTCTAGATGAGAAGTGATGAGAGGTATGGTAAGAGTGGAAAGGAAAGGATAGAAGAAAGAGACTAGAGGTAGAATTGACAGGATTTATCAATTAAGTGATATGAAGTAGGAAGTTTCAAAGATTATTCTAAAGTGCCATTATTTCAGGTGACTGGGAGGATGGTGGTATCATCAACAGATAAAGAATTTTTATGGAGAGAGGGAAATTGGAGGTGGAGTATAGAGGGAGAGAAATGATGATTTAACTTTTGCATATTTTGAGTTTGAGGGATGATGAAATATCCAAGTGAAGATTTCAAAGAGTTGGAAATATGATACTAGAACTCTGGGAATATATTGGAACTGAAAAAATATGATTGGTAGTCATACACATAGAGTACTAACAGAAGCCATTGGAATTGAGCAGATAATTAAGTGAGAGAGTACAGAGAAAAAGAAGAGGGCCAAGAATAGAACCTTGGGGGAATGTCCATGTTGGAGAGGGAGGTTATATTGTTTAGTTGTTTTCAGTCATGTCTGACTCTTTGTGACCCATTTGAGGTTTTCTTGGCAAAGATACTTGCAGTGGTTTGCCATTTCCTTCTCCAGTTCATTTTACAGATGAGGAAACTGAGGCAGAGTTAAGTGAGTTGCCTAGTGTCACACAGCTAGTAAGTGTCTGAGGCCAGATTTGAACTCAGGAGGATGAGTCATCCTGACTCCAGGCCTGGCACAGAGAGGCGAGGGATAAGGAGAATTATGAGGCTGTAGCCTCAATAAAATCAAGGGAAAATATATCAAGAAGGAGAGGGGTATAT